TGCCAGGATGCACAGCAGCGCCATGCAGGCATCGAGTGTCGCACCAGACCGTCGGCATACCAAAATCGAATCTGGGATCGGGCCGGCCGGAATCGAGATCGCATCGGGTCGATCGGATCGAAATGCGCCCTGCAGTCCCCCGCCCGGAGCTCGTTCGCCTGGGACGCAGAAAGACATACCAGTACAACGTGTCCTCCCTGGAGGCGTGCGTCCGACCCGAACCTGTCGTGCAACCATCTTGTAGTAGATCGTTTCCCGAGCGGTGTGGCCAGAAAGCGCCCGCCACGAAGCATATCCTACCATATCCGCATCCGTGCCTCTGGGTACGGAGTGGGCGTGTCCTCAGGTCATTTGCCTAATCCCTGGAGCCTCCGTCCTCCGTCCTGAGGAGTCTCCAAACTTCCGAGATTTGGCGGGGCTCCCGGCGTGCTCCCAGGGGCTTCCCGCGTGCCCCGTGGGGCCCCCTGGGCTCCCCCGCATCTTGTCGCGTGACTTTTTCGGGCCAACAACAAAAACAAGACTGGCCAAGAGGGCCCCACAAGGACCCCAAGAGGGCCCCGAGACGCCCAGGGATCGGCCCAAGACGCCCAAGATGGCCTCAAGACGGTCCAAAACGCCTCCAAGATGCCCCAAGAGGCACCCCAAAGGCCTCCCCAGAGGGCCTCAAGAGGCAAAAACAATTGATCGGCCTTCGATTTTTGAAGCATTTTGGCGTTCTCGATTTTTCGGCTTTCCGACGCTCCAAGACGGCCCAAGAGGCCCCCGAGACCACCCCAAAACTGCCCGAGAGGCCTCCAGGAAGGCCCCAAGACGGCCTAAGAGCGCCCCACGACAGCCCAAGCGGCGCCCAAGACGGCCCAAGACGGCCCAAGACGGCCCCAAAAGGGGCCCAAGAGAGGGAACACGAACCGAAGTCCGAGCTTTCCGCCCCACGAGGTCCCCAGGAGGCCCCCAGAAGCGCCCAGAAAGCCCCAAGAGGCCCCCAAAGAGGCCCCAAGAGGTCCAAAAGTGGCAAGAGGCCTCCAAACTGCCTCCAGTGGCACCCGAGAGGCCTCCCGCGAGATCCCGACGAACATCCAAGAGGCCTCAGACCCACAACCCAGGCACGGTGGCGGAATAGGCCGAAGGCCATGATTTGAGATGTCTCGGCGCGCGCATCGCCCCCTGTAGGGAGCCCACAAAGGACGTACGCGCCCAGCTATGTACATGAACACGGCCCCTTGACCCGCGAGACCGGCCGCGTGATAGGAACATTCGCGCCATGCGAACTCTCGAAACCAGCGTGGATTCATGTACGTGTACGTCCTTCTTTCGCTCCTGACCCTGGGGGGGGGGGGAGGGGGGGAGGGGGCGACGCGCACACAGCACCAGCCTGCCCAGGTGACGCCGCCCCCTGCCCCCTGCCGCGAGCGAGCGCGCCTCCTGCGCGGCGGCGGCCGCCGGCGTCGGCGCCGGCTCCTCGGCGGCGAAGCTGGCCTGGGCAGCGCCGCCGCGCACGGCACGTCGGCGGGGCTTCGAGCAGGAGACCGGCGACGGAACTGATATACCCCCAAACGGAAATGTCCGTCGAGCCCACGAAAAATACGTCGAATGCATGGTGAGTCTGTGAGCCTCCTGCGTACTGCCGCAGACTCGACGACAACAGCAATGCGACGTCGGTTCTGTAGTCGATCTTCTGCTCGAAGGATGGCGACGATGCCGATGCCGCGCGGACCTCCGAAATTTCACGACTACGCTGCTCTTGCTCCTCTGGCGACGGCAAAGAACCAACTGAAGGGGAACTGGGACGCACAAATAAATACACACAAATAAAAGGATTCCCCATGTTTTCCCATGTTTTCCCATATTTTCTGGGTTTTTGTCGTCCCCCCATTTCCAATATTTTCCTATATTTTCCTGGGGGCCGACGATTAACTGTGTCTGTGTTTTTTTTCCCTCCTGACCAACGCGGGGGCGCAGATGCCGAATGCACGGCACGCCGCGATCGCGTGAACACTGCAGGGAAGGTCGTGCCGTGGCACCGCCGGCGCTGGGTTCTCGGACTCGCCGGCGCGCCCAGGGGGACGTGGCCTGGGGGGTGGGCATTTCTCGGGAGGCCCGGGGGCCACATGCGAGCCCTACCCCTACCCCCCCCACGATTTCTCCGAGGGGGAGGGTGGGGTTCACCCCGTTCGGGAGCTCCCAAGCGCAGTGAGCCCCACCCTGCCCGTCAGAGATCGTGGGGGGGTAGGGGTAGGGTTCGCATGTGGCCCCCTCAAGGCGGCCGGGCCTCCCGGGAGCCCCCGGGCCTCTTCCGAGAAGCTGTCCGGGCCGTGCTCCGAAGACAGAGAGGCGGGTTCTCAGGGGGCGCGAGGGCGTCTGAGACGCCCCGCCGCCTTCTGACGGGGCCTGTCCCCTCTCGCTGCCCCCCGTGAGCTCGCCGCCGAATGACGGCGACGAGAACGAAGGTGAGGCAGAATGTCAGGATGCAGCTCCTGGGAGGTCTTTGTCAGAACGACTAAGGGCGATTAAGCCCGATGAAGGGGCGCCTGAGCTGAAGCTGGATCAAGGCCGGATTAAGCCCGGGATCGGGTCGGGCTAAGCGGGATGAAGCAGCATTAAGCGGGATTCAACTCGACTCGAAGGACTATACCAGATTGGGCCGATTTCGGCCAGGGGTATACAAACGCCGATGCTGAATTCACCCCCCAGGAGTTGCATCTTAAGACACTGATGCCGACAATAATGATGACGACGACGCGGATGAAGCAGAATGGGACGCAGAAAGACAGACTAGTGCGATGTGCCCCCCTTGGAGACGCGTGTCCTAGCCTACAATATAGCGCAAACATGGCATAGCATATCGTTATACCCAGTCGGCAGGGCCAGAAAACGCTCGCCCTCGAGTACGTCCTAGAACAGTTCCGAACGCGCGCGCGTCGCACCTGCGCCGACGCCCACACGGCATAACTGGCAGGAATGGCAACCATAAATCGGCACACCCCCGCCACGAGACCCTTTGCAGCGTTTGCCATGCGATGCCCGCGTAGTTTCTACCAAACACTCCGCCACCATCACCCCAAGACTGCAACTCCCCGCGTGCGTCTGCCTCCTGCAGGCTGCGCCATGGGTTGCAGCAGACACCCCGCCACAACCAAATCGCGATATCATGGGGGAGTCTACCTTTCCCAGGTTGCGCCGTACATTGTAACTTAAGGCACCCCCCCCCACCCTGCCTGGTCAGCGGCGAGGGCGGACGCCGACGCGGTCGGTCGGCCGGCGGGCCGTGACAGGCAGAGGCACACTAGACGAGCGGAAATTGGAGGGCGGTCGCGGAGAGGGGAACGCGAGGGGATGCCTCGGGCGTAGAGAATCTGCGGCCACGAGGCGTGCGCGGGCGGAATCGGGCGCCGAAAGTCCATGCACGGGAAGGAGAGCAGCGACAGCGTCGTCAGGGGGTCTGGCACCACGGAGGTGAGGCAGGAGTCGCACGCAGGGCGCCAGTCCACGGACCCGGCCCTGACGAGCGTCGTAACGCCCGAAGGCAGCCCCGCCCCGCCATACAATCAAATCGCGAATTCCCGTGCCAGTCTACATTTCGCCATCTTGAATAATCATTCCAAAATTCACTGTTAGGATCGATCAGAAACCCCGTCGCACAACAAAATCGTCGTTTACTGTACTGCATGAATCAACTTTCTGTATAAATGCGGCATCACAAGGAGACCGAGATTCCCCGGCGACAACACTTTATAAAGAATTATCCCAGTGCGACCCTACCTAGGAGTTGGAACCCCTAGGAAAGCAGCATTAGTAGTAACAGTAACGCTAAGCTAAAGCTAAGCTAAAGCTAAGCTAAAGCTAAGCCACAGCTAAGCTCAAGCTAAGCTCAAGCTAAGCTAAAGCTAAGCTAAAGCTAAGCTAAAGCTAAGCTAAAGCTAAGCTAAAGCTAAGCTAAAGCTAAGCTAAAGCTTAGCTAACGCTAAGCTAAAGCTAAGCTAAAGCTAAGCTAAAGCTAAGCTAAAGCTAATCTAAAGCTAAGCC